GCTCTACTCATATTATTGTGGGAAAATTCTTCTTCTACCAGTCCTTCATCACCCTAAAAGAAATTGGGTGCATACATCTCATATTAGTGATTTACTCGAAGTCACGAAAACAATACTTGACTCGAAAAATTTAATATAAAAGATGCATATGAACGTAATTGCCGAGAAAAAGTGGTGAAAAGAATTAATAACTAGAATTTCCGAGTAAGCATTAAGAATCAGCTTATTCAAAGTGAATGAAGTTGCCGAACCGAGTTCGAACCACTCTAAACAGCAAAAAGAGATGGCATTAAAGCTAAGGATCATAGCATTTTGATGATCGCATCTATTAGAGACAGTTTAGATGTAGTTCTCTGAACAATTGGGGATTCGAATAACCTGTAAAAGTCTAATTATGAGCTGGTTAATGAGCATAAATAATATCATCTTTCGTACGCAGGGTTCTTATGAAACGAAAAATAACTTTGGAAGCTGTGGACAAGATTGCACCCAGTTTGCTATACACATATATAAGTACACATGCCCACAAACACAAAGACACGCCCATACGCAAGCATATATAAGCAAGCAGGCAAGAGAAGCGGATGTCCAGAATGCAAGAATTAGGATTACTAGCGCTTAGATTAAAATAGGTAAAAAATTCTGTATGAAGTGTTCTTAAAAGCCCAAGGTCGAATGATATAGAATGATTACAGAACTCTAGAAAACTGAATTTTTCATCACATTTACTGACCGAATGTAACCTTGCATACTGTCAAAAGGTTCATCCGTTTATGCATACAATGAGGAGCATTGTCATCGTGTAACAGCGTCTCCTCGCATCTATTGTAGGCTGTCCGTGCTCGATTTGGCTCTTCTTCTTCCGAAGGCCTATTCAAAGCGGCGAAGTCCCCGATACACGACAAGCTCACTCCTCAACATCGACGCTGCCGGACAGTCTACTGGGCCTGAGCAACACCTTTCGAGGAGGACGGAAGGGCAGCCAGTCGAGACCGGCTTGCAGCGGCCCAACAAAGCCGAGACCGAGAGGCCGAGCAGCGCACTCTTGTTGGCGAAATTCTCTTCTGACGCTCACCTACTCCTCACGATGGACGAGAGAGCAACGGCCAAACTATGGCTGGCACCACTTTGGCGCTTATTGCGGGTAGGCCATTTGAGGCATACAGCTCAGTCTGGCAGAGTAAGTCCGTTCTGCGACTGAGTCTCCGTCGGTGCCGGGTTTAGACGGGTTGGTGCACAAAGGTTCGCGGCAGTGCACGGAGAAAATGCGAGGCTTAGGCCATTGAAGAGGTGACGGTGCTTGACCAAGTGAACCGATTAATTGGCGTATTTGAGAAGAGGTTGGATATTTGACTGAAACCAATCGCAGGCATGTGGCATGCAAGCAAAGAGGTGCTGATTGCCATGGACGTGTAACACTTTCAATCGGGCAGGTCTACCGATCAGATGAAATGACCTTTCTTTTAGTTTATTAGAATTGCCACAAATGCATCTTCAGACAGGAGAATGGAAAGTGTTGTGGGGTCTTGCATTTCATATGGTGGTACAGGATGATGTGATTCGTAGGTCGATGACACGAGAAGATACCGGCGCATTCGCGTTGTGCTACCGTCGTTTGAGGCTAATACGACGCTCAGGACATCCTCCCTCCGTTAGGCTGAAAATAGGGTAAGCTTTCGTTGGTCAAATAACGAAATTCATCAGAATTGGCCTCATTCTTGCAAAAGTGTCAAGTTAGCGCTAGGTCATGAATACTTCTGGAAACTCATTTTTACACAAATATCTCCTATTAATGGGGTTACACTTATGATATAACTAAAAAGCCTATCCTTTGTAGTCCATATGCATTCTGTAAACTTCCTATTTAAAGAAGTGGGTTGACCTCGTTGTCGCAACTTGGTCTTGTTGCCAGGGCGACTATGAAGAACGCACCTAGTCCGAAGTCGTCTGTCTTAGTAGTTGTCATGATACCCAGCATCTGACAGTGGACTTGGTACATTCTCAGACCTTTCGCCGGCATCGTAGTCGGCATCAACAGTGAGACTTGCCATTCGCCGCACCAAGCGACGAACTCGTCAAAGAGACAAGTGAAATCAAACCCTCGACAACCGTTCTGCCGAAAACGGTTACACTCTCAATCCTCTTTCTGTCCTGACCTATCTATACACTCTTTACCCTCTTCTCCCACTGCCGCCCTATCGCAACTTCTCACTTGTTTACATTCCACACGTATTTCTTGATACTTG